AACAATGAAATCAATCAATCGTGATATAGAACACACACACACACACACAGAGGCATTCCAGAACTTTAAGCAAATATTCCCGACAATGAAATGATATAACGAACAACAGGAAAAATGTTTGGCGTCTGAATCTTTAATCACAAAGATGATTTGACGTTAAACAAACGTAAATGGAGTGAATATGCGGAGGTAAAACCCATTTTTACTCTGGAGAAACATATTTCTGTAAGTCACACGTTTCATGAGAAATCACGTATTGTATATCACGGAATAAATTTGAAATAGTGAACTTTTAATAATAATAATTGCATGTATCCCCTCGAATAGATTTATCTAATTTTGAAAAATTGCATGCATGCACAGAAAGACATATGGTAATGTATATATGCTATAAATATGTATGTGTACATCGATATGCGCATTTCTTGTGTACTTGTGTTTGTTGGGGTATTTATCGATCGTTATTGTTTCTTCTTCTTTTTTAAATAGATTGCAATTATGGTAACTTTAGGAATAACTCTTGGTTAGCAGATGTCGATGTTTGATTAATCGATTAGTTTACTTTCGTTATATCTATCGTTCGGACCCTGACGTTGAGGAAATGATTGGTTTTGCCAAAATATTTACTTTGACCGTGTGTGTGTGTGTGTGCAGCAACTTATGAAAGAAATTTAGAAATCTAAAACATTATTCACACGCATACATACATATGTACCTACCTACGCACATAGATAGATATAAGATTTTGGTTCTAAAAGAAGAACGTTCTTTTTTTTTGCAAGTTTTATCACACAACCAAAGGATTATTAATAATTTTTTCACTTAAACCACGCCTTAAAAGATAAAGCAACAACGTTATCAACAATAGAGAGCACAAAAATGCTATACATGTAATAATAATAATAATAGTAATAATAAGAATAATAATGAGAAGAATAAGAATAATAATAGTAATAATAATGATACCTATCTGTTATAAATCTGATTCATCGCCTCTTTGTTTCTTTTTTCAACATTTATAATCGTTCGCATGTGTTAGTAATCTCAAAATATATATTTTGCACTACAATCAATGACTAAATCTTGCAATTATTAAAAATTAACTGGCACAAAGAAATGTCGATAAGGCTTGAATGGCTTAGAAGTGAATGAAAAATGTTGAACAAAAGTAAAAATATGCGTCGATCCAACAGACGTTTTAAATTCGAATAGATGATACTTGATTTAGCTCTTTTTTTTTCCTAAAACGAATGAGCGGTAATAGATGCACTTGAATACTTTTGAACGCGGCGCACATGAAAAATTGCATGTCTTCCAACGAGAAGAATTATCAATCTATCTAATTAATTAATTCCTTCATCATTCCCCTTATGTAACGTGAAAAATAAAATTTTAGGGAATTGAATTATTCTTATTTAGTGGAAGATTCGCATTCAACACAAACACTTTTTTTTATAGACGCATACACATGCAGTCCCGATGTTTATAGAAAATAGTGTCGTGATTCATGTTTTGTTCAAAAATCCCATCCTCAGATTTTTATTTTAGCCATCTCTGTATACAATCTCGTTCCATGTATTGAAATTTATTTTAAAATAGAAGGTTATTTATAGACATTTTGTACGATTGAACTTTTTTTATAGTATAAAAAAATGCATCTCATTTGTTCCTAATATATTTTTGTCAGAAATTATTTTTACCATCCACGGTATTTAACATTGAATACATTGAATGGCATTGAAGAATGGCGAGGGATACTTATATTACATGCAATATTCTCCCTACAATTTCGGATTATTTCACATCTAGAAAGTGACATACATCTACATGTATCAATTTTTCGAAAATGAATGAATGAAAATAATTTATTTCGCATTGAATTTTTTTTTCATTTAATAATAGTCAAAAATATCCCTCGTAAGAAAATCGAATTGATAACGATAACAAATGATGGTCTAAATTCTGTGATTATATAATCATAAATGAACAGCGAGGCTTTATTATTAAATTTACGTAATTTTCTCTCGAGAATTGCTAGTCATTACAGATAAATAATCCTGCTCAAAATGTACCCTTTTTTTTTTGATTTCAAATTATTAGTAATAATTTTCGTGACAGAAAGATAATCGAGAAAAGGCCCCACTCTGCTAATTTCTTGTATGTTTCAGAAATAGGATTTTTAATAAACTTGATATTAAAGAGTAAAAAATGGGCTGAAACGGGAACAAGACAAGCATTTAAACTTACAAAGTTTTAATCTAATGTACATGTACACATAAAAATAAATAAAGCAGCGGTCAGCCAGCCAGCTATATTTAAAAGATTTAATATGATCAATCACGGAATACATGCGCTTGGCATGATGGTAACATAAAATTTAGAGACAAGCAACAAGAAATAATAAAAAGAATATCCCCTCCTCAATTCAAAAGACATTCTCGTTAGAATTGACAACGAAAGCTAGTTTGATATTATGGCACACATGCTTCAGCAAGAAAAATTGTCGGGAAGAAACCAATTAGGATTTTATTAAAATCTCTGGATTACACTGGGACACACATGTACATATCATTAGAAGAGAATCAACTGGGAATTAAATTACCAAAGCAAAAAAGAGATGTAAGTTGATGCGTCAATTTAAATTGGGTGTTCTATGGCATCATTGATGAATTTCTAGAATTCGGTGGCATGCATGTTATCAAATACATAAATCGTTAACTGGCTTAAATTTAAATTTCTGGTGTCTTTCACGACAAACTTTATTTTTGCTTAATGATAATTAATGGGCATTTTTTCGTATCGGCATCGTGTACATAACCAGTTTATATGTAATTACTTGAAACTTGTGCTATGCATAATATTCATACATCACATACAGTACATAAGCACGTACATACAGCGATATTTTTATATATTGTGCAAATACTAAATTCCATTGCACAACACTAATGAAAGAAGAATTTCATTTAGAATTTTTAAGACTGGAATTTAAATTAGCCAAATAGATTCAAAAAAAAATAGATAGATAGATAGAAAGACAATAACGTAAATAATAATAATAATAATAATAATAATAATAATAATAATAATAATAATAATCATAATCATAATACTAATAATCATACATTAATACATGTAATAATTACAATCATAATCAGTGGTGGGTTCTATCTAATCTGCACATGTGTGTATTTCTTTCATGTTAATAATTTTAAATAATTCTTATTTCCATTCACAATCAATAATATCCAATTCATTCAATATCGCACATAATCGACCTCGGGTACGGAACTCTTACCAAAATTGAATGATTTTTGTGACTCAGTGTTTGATATCAAATTTAAATATTATTTTTCTTGATTATTGTTGTTTTTTATTTACTTGATTTAATAATGCTAATGGGTCATTCTAACGAGAACGATATTTTCAAAGTAAAAGATGATTATTAATTAACTATGCTTACCGGATACTTTATTGTATTTCGCGCGCGGTTATTATTGCGAGCATAATTAACAAAAAAAAAAAAAAATAGAGGTCGATAATAATGTTCTATTATCTATTCGTTATTATTATCAGCTGCTTTGAAAGTTTTGTTTAGCCAGTCAATCAATCGAGTGTACGACAACAAATAACCCACCGACAGACACAACGACACAAAGGATAAAGACAAAATTAGGTGAATGAAATGTTTCCTTTTGGTCTCTTTTATCTTGGTAAGGTGGATTACAATTACCTGCGTAATTTTAATGGGATTATTTCGTGACCATCGCATCAGTTTGAAAAAAGCGGGTGTTAGGGTATTAAAAATGCGAATTCTGTAAAAAAAATATTTTCACACAACAAACAATAACAACCCACCGATGATTTATGCATGATTTGGCTTAGACGTACCCTTCAAATATTTTCAACTATCATATTATCAATTGAGTGATATATAAAGTAATAGTAATAATAAAAAATAATAATGTAAAAAATAATAATAATAATAATCTATCGCCTTACTACTTACGAGGAATTTTGATTGAACACACAAAACAAACTCTAGAAATGCAATATCAACCATCATCAGTATCGTAAAATTTTTTTTTTGTTACATACTACAACAAAGCTAACTAACACGTACACCACACACAAAAAAATACACAACAACAACAACAATAATAATAATAATAATAATAATAATACTTTTGACAAGTCAAGTCGACTTAAATAATTATATTTAACGGTATATATATCTACACTAATTATAATAAATAATTGTGTTTTTCAACCTCCACTACTTTTTTTAGTTCCATACCTTAAAAATAGTATTTTAAGTATTATTATTTTTTTCTTAACTATAACCTATTATCTCTATTTTATTATTTTAATAGACACGTTCACCCAACACCACTTTTTTTTCTAAAAAAAAATACATAGAATATCTTGCTCAGCCGTTACTACTATTACTACTACCACCACCACTACCACTAACTATTTACTACTATTATTATTACTATTACTATTACTACTACTACTACTACTACTCTTACTATTACCCCACACACACACTACTTTGCACATTTCATATAACAAGTATAGATAGATACCGTTTATTGTTTTGCCATACCTGTTTTTTTGAAAAGCTCTAGCTTGGAAAATTCTTTGACAACCTAATCTTGGTCGTCATAGCGCCTGGTGAGAGTAACGAAATGATTTTACCTAAAAAGTTTTACCGCGCGTCCGACAACTAACCTTTGTTTATACCATAACTTGCGTGGCCTTTGAACCCCTAGTTAAACACAAAGCATACCCGTGTTGTACACTAGCTCATTTCTGATAAAAGTACGTGTTCCTTCTATTTTCCATATCGTAAATATCACCTCGACGTCTTTGAACACGTATGCACGTGCAATGATGGATGATAATCAATTAATTAATTTCTTCTTATCATCGTCCCTTAAAGAAAAAAAAAGGTAATCACCTTTACCTCGCATCCTCGATAACATATACTCTGAAGAATGGATCTCGCAGCAAATTCAGCTGTCGCAACATTGTCTTTTCCACCGCCGGAAAACTTTGGATTTGAATTTCTTCCGGTCAATAAACAATTGTTGAAAGATGAAAATGTGGTGGACCATGAACGATTAAAAAGGATTAAGGAGAAGGTTGAAAAGGTAAACTGAGATTCTTTTCGTTTTTCGATCTTTCGCGTTAACGTTTCGATATTAATTGACGATGATGATCATCCTCGTCATTAGGCCGCTAGCGCTGCAGAAAAAGCGAGCAGAAACTTCCAGAAGCTATACTCCACGCTTCGTGATCTATCAACGGTAAGCAACGACAAAAACGCCACATGGGATGCTGTTGTACAAAAATACATCGCGGAGGAAGGCAAATCTATACACGCGAAAATGTCCATCGTCAACAACAGCTTGATTCCACCGCCGCCAACACACCAACCTCACGATACACCAGTTCATCACAATAACCATAACAACAAGAACAACAACCGGAAGGCTACGAATCAAAACAAAAATCATCATGTTCAAGAACCTCGCTTGGAATTCATCACAGCCAAAGTAAACAACCTTGATAACACGATCGATACACGACGTGCTAGCACGCGTAGGAAAAAACCGAAAAAGTCACGAGATCCTAATCGTCCCAAGAAGCCGCCAAACGCATTCATGATGTTTTTGGTGGAGCAATGTGACGAGATGAAGAATAAGTCGGGCACTGGTGGGTTGCACGCGCCGCATGTGGGAAAGATTGTGAGTGAACGATGGAAGGAGTTGCCGCATGACCAGAAGAGATTATACGAGGAACGATACCAAATCTCAAAAAAGAAGTACGAAGAAGATATCAAAATATATTATGCCAATCGCGAAGAGGACCCCGTCGAATCTCCGGAAATAATCGAGGAGAAAAGCCCAGTAAAAATCAAGCAGGAAGAAAACGAATACGATTTCGCTTCCACCGCTGCTACAGCTCATTCATCACCATCACCAAAAAGATTGAAACGTAATAACAAAGCTAGACCATCATCTTCAACATCACAAGACATTAACAATAAGGACGTCTTAACGCAAAACACAGGTCATCGATCAATACAACAAACTCCCATCATGAAAATACGAAAAAACAGTCGTAAGCCACGAAAAGTTAAGGATGCTAATCGACCAAAAAAACCGGCCAACCCCTATGCGTTGTATTTAGCAGAGCAATGTTCATTGATGAAGCAGAAGGCGGCACCGGGTGCATTGAATGCACCACATATTGGACGTGTGGTATCTGAGCGATGGCGAAGCCTTTCAAAAGAAGATAAGCAGGTGATTAATCTTATTTTCTCATCCATCTCTATAATGATAGTGTACGTGAATTAATTTGGTATTAATCCGATGATTATTCCTCTTTCAGGTCTATATGGATCGATACAATATCGCAAAAAATAATTACGACGAAGAAGTGCGTAATTATAATAGCAGTCTATTATTGCTAAACATGTCAACAGCATCAACCAATTTAACGCCACCACCACCACCGAAGCCATTACCTCCGAAACCCTCGCAAGAAGAACCATTTGATTCCAGTGATGAGCATGACGAATTGGAAGGAGCTCCTTTGTCAAATGATGAACAAGAACATGAACATGATGAGCTTCAAGATGATTACGATGTTCCATTGACGTCACCGAAAAGCAGTTCCAAGGAAAACCAAGAAAAGGTGCTGCCGGTTGCTGCTGATGATGATGATGAATCCACTGATGAGTCCTTGGAACTCGAAGAAATGCAAGATGTGGAATATAGTAATGGTGGTGAGAAAGATAACTCTGAATCTTTTGTCAAAACGACCAAGATCACCGCTGATGGGGAACACCTACGAACACGAGAAGCACTGATGGTAAACACCGAAATCACAAAAAAGAAACACATGCGAAAGCGTAGATCTCGCGAGGATGACTATGACGACGACGACGACTACCAAATGAAAAGAAGAAATCATCGTAACCTTCGCCGTGAATTCGCCAATGGCCAAGACGAGAGCGATGGAGAAGAAGATTCCATCGGCGACGAAAGTGATCACAGTCCCCTTGGGACACCTTCTGCAGATGGCGAGATCTCGCCATCAAAATGGTCACTGAAAGGCTTGTTTTCGGGATTTAAGCGCCCAAAGTTCTTTCAATAATTTTGTTTTTTTCTTCAATAAAAAAGATCTTTTTTTCTGTATATATAAACGTATACATTTTATAAACCATTTCATGCATACTAAAAGTATTATGATAAGATATTTTTACAAATAGACAAGTCACCCTCGCTGACCAAGAGTAAACATTATCATTCACTTTTTTTTTGCTTTAGCTTCTAGATAAACCCTTGGCAAATGCATAACTCTCGTGTGTAATATAATATTCGCACATTATATAAAAATTTTGTATAATAAAAAGAAATTCATTTCGTTTTATGCCACTGGAAAATTGATTGAAAAATAATGTGTGAGGATGATGTAATTTAGCATAATACTGATCATTTTATCATTCATTAATAAAGGTAATAAAATATTTAACGCATTAAAAATTTCAAATTGCAGAATTTGCTTAATCTTTGTTTTGTTCATTCAAATCAAAGTTCTAACCAAAATGGTACGTATCAAAAATCGATGGATCCTCTTCGAAGTAATTTTCGAGGACAACAAAATGCCACCACCTCCATCATTACCACCACGACATCAAGAAGACGAACAAAAACAAATACCTAGCGGTGGTGAAGAGGACGGCGCATCATCCTGGCAAAAACAACCAACAACCGCAAAACAACCACAAACACAATCGAATCCGCTCTATTTAACCACTAAAGAAATTCATCACGCGCTACGTGACTCTATCTGTCTTAATCTCGGCGATTTCGGGATGGGATGTGTGATCGGCTCGTTGAATGGTAAATATTAGAGCATTATTATCGTTACCTTCTAATAAGAACATATCTTTCATTATCTTTTAATATATAAACCATAGTAAAATATTTCTCCCCATTCACAAATAATGGAATCTTGCGTGTGTCTCGCGATCATTATCGTCTTATCTGGGGTGCATTAACATTTATCAATGAGATACGCGGACGCCGTTGTCTAGTTCATGTATTGCATGTTGGAGGTATTATAAAGGCTTTTGTTTCTTTAACTATCACATGATCTTTTTTGTAATCTTTTGAATGGATATAACAAATAGGAACTATAAAAAAGTGTCAATTGGCTTGTATCCAACATGATCGTGAGCAGATCTTGAAGAGACGACAAGCGGCAGAATCACGCGGTAATTTAGAGATATTTTCGCATGATCTCTTTTTTGTGCCATGTTTATTGATTTATTTTGTGGAATAGGTGATAGTAACTTGAAAGCATTTGAAGTGTTGCTGGAGGAATCTCAAAAAGAAATAATGACCGTCACAATATGAAAAAAATCATCAGAGATTGGAAAATCATCATGTGATTACTTTCACGACTGCTCTATTAATAAGTTGCGTGTTCTATACAAAAGTAATATTCTATATATATCAAACATTAATGAAGCTTTTTATTAATAAAACTAAATTGTTCTTTATTAGAAATTTCTATACAATTCGAAATAAAAGTGTGCCATTCATCATTGAAAACTTCTTTTGGTGATGGTTCATTTTTCAAGGAAACTTCTTTTGTTGGTGATTCATTTTTCAAGGAAATGAGATTAACTTCATCATCAGATTCTTCTTCTTCATCATTAAACGGTGACCAAGCATCCAAAGAATCACTGTCATCTATTCCCCGGATGTCATTTGATGATTTGGTGGTATGCGAATCATCGTCAAGTAATGATGAAAAATCTGCAAGTGGACCATCTAAAACTTTGTCATGATCATTTTTTTGTCGATGATGTGAAGCCGACGTTGGAAGAACACCATTTCGTATAGCGGTGGTGGTGGTTCTTGATGCTTTTGTATTTGTGGATGTGGAAATTTGATCAAAATATAGTCTGAGCTCGTTCCTCATTACCCCTGTTTCTTGCTCCCGTGTATTACCAGCCACTAATAATGATCCTTTATACTCGTAATTTCGAGTATTGTGCAACGAAACTCGATTTAATGTGTATGAAGGTGGTTTTTCAATATCATTGGACGATTTAAATGTTAATATATGCGGGCATTGGATATTTTTCAAATGGGTGCTATAAAAAAAATTTAATTATTAAAAATTGGGTTTCCACATAAAACAATATACGGAGCAATGTAAAAAAACCTGTTATATGAACATCCTGAAAGAAAATCATCCGGAAGCACATCGGCTGGTAATTTTATCCTTCGCGCTGCTACCATGCGGAAATCTGACGGTCTTTTTTGATGATAAAACAGTGATGGTAAAGTAATTTAGCAGCCAAACTTACAAACATTCACCTTTACTACTCATGCATACCTATCCATCAGTAACATGTCCACTATTAAATTTTGTCTGAATCCTTCTATTGATTTGAATATCATTTTTTCTTTTTCCAGTTCAAATTTTAATTTGATGCGTTCAATTTTCGATTTTGCAGTAGTTATTATCTCGGGTTCCTGCTCCTTCTCTTCTTGATTTGATAGTTTGTATTCAAGTTCAACAAATTTTGCTGTCAATTTTGGTTCAAGTTCTTTCACTAGTCCAAAATACGGATAACTGCGTGAATTTACGTAGATTATGTTAAAATCGAAAAAAGTTTCTGAGTGTATTGCTATATGAAAGGGAAAAAGCATCAAACATATATATTACTTTGCCAAAAAATATTGAGTAGGTTTGACTTCTTTCATCCAATTTGTATATCCCTCACAACTGAATAGAGACTCAAATGGGGGAATAGGCGGCGGAATGAACAAATTTTGATTGGTTGTTGAATTGTCATGGAATAAAATATGACCAAACCTGTAATTAACGAAAACATTATCATCGTAGAAAATAAAGATTAATATTTTCTTTTCAGGCGACAGAATAAAAATAAACCAGTTCTCTTAAACGCGTTCTTACACCGAATATATTTCCACATCGGAGATGCTCGTTATCTGGTCATCTTTATCGTTTTCTGCCAGATACGTCCAAAGAAACTCGCCGAACTTCAAAAATTCGATATCGTTGAAATCTGCCTGAATATGTTTCATGCTGAAAAGATCAACAATCAATTATTGCCTGAAAAAATCTAAATAGCCATATGTGACAAAAAATACTTTGGACTCTTGTTTACGAAAGATAGCTTATCGGAGATTGTTGGTTTGTCTATTAGGGCTGCGTCTGTGACCTTTTTTACAATAATTTATGGTTAAATGCGTGATTTTTACCAAGCTCATATAATTCTTATTGTAATCTCTTACTTGATCGAAAATTCTTCCGATACGCCACCAATTTAAATGTCTTAGAAACAGTGACATTGATTGCCAATCATGTACGGGAAATAGAGAATAGTTTAAAGCTCCTCGAGTTATACTATTATACATTGTTATATGATTTTCATTGTAATCAGGCTATATTTATATAATATAATATTAGATTAGTATAACGAAGTTTAAGAGTTTATCGACTTAAAAAATCAATAACCTTAGCCCAAGCTATATTTAGTAGCCGAATTGTTTCATCGATACTCGTAGGCGTTCGACCAGAAATTACAAGCTTCAAGTTCAAGACAATTAATATTCATGATAAAGGAAAAATATTGACTTAATCCTCGTACCTTATTTTCATCATCAATCTCAACATAGGCCCCAGAATTCTTACATATATCTTGTATATAGGGTAAAATCTCTGACATGGCACGTTCGTCTATCTTTATGTCCGGAGGCACTTCCACTATACGTGATGTGTATTGCTTGATCCACATAAATAGGCTATCATTAGTTTTATAGTATGTAGAATGTTTTAATCACGGATTAAATATATTCACCGTCAATTCGGCAATAATTCCTTTGGCTTTTGGAAGTTCTGATCGAGGCCCAGTGATCGTGTAAGAAAGCGCGGAAACGTTTATGCGAATTTTTACAGGAGTTTTCTGTTCAATTTCTTGTAAAGTTTCGGCCTCTGCACAGTCCAAGTAGGCATAGTTAAAATCAAGCTGCATGACAAAAAATACACATGGTGACAACGATACCTGGGCCTATCAAGAAATATAAATCCTTGGCGTCGCATTTCACAGCTATAATAATAAAAGATATGATGAATCTTTGCTTTTTCGAACAACCAAAAGCACCAACAACGCATCCAGAAGGAAACCACACACGGGTCGTATAGCACACAATATCTTATGAGACATACATTCTTGACCAATGATTTTCTTGTATGGATCTTCAACTTTCCATACGTCGCTAATGATCGTCTCTACCAATTTGGCCTTATTACCTACCGGAGGATGTTTATATCTCTTTAGATAATGTTGTAGCTGGCGCACGGTGAATCCCATATACACATCGGTGATTAAACGTTTGTACGCGGCGAGCCCTAATTGCACTGAACGTAATTTATCGCCGACGGGTTTCAATCCCTCGATTCCTTCAATTGCTGAGTGTGGTTCGGGTTCTGGTGGTGGAACGAGACGTATTTTCTCGGCTAATCGGTATTTCTGTGCCCAGAGGTCATTTAGTAGACCTTTGGAAAGTTCGTCTACCTTTTCCCCTGAAAGAAGTTCTGGTTTACGTGATTTGTGAGAACTTGATCCTGGGTCGTCACTTAGTAGACCTTTGGAAAGTTCGTCTACCCCTTCCCCTGAAAGAAGTTCTGGTTTACGTGATTTGTGAGAACTTGAAGATCTTGGGTCTATATGGTTAAACTGTTGTTGAAAGTAAATTGGCCTTGGAAGCCTTTTTCTGTGTAACAAAGCAGTGGTGGTCCGCGAGAAAGGCGAAGCAGGATTCATACTAAAAGCGAAAAGTTTAGTGATCTGCTTTTTGAAAAAATTTCTGCTGCACTAAAGTTCTTGCAAATCATCGTGACTCATATTTCTTGAATGCGCACAACTTGCATGTATCACATGTGGAACAACGCGTAAAAAATATCGAATGTATAGTTCAATTTTATTAACATTAAAAAAAGGTTGAGAAATATCTTTACTGACAATCAATGTTTTAACATTAGCGTTTTGTCCCTTAGGCAATAAATGGAAACATAGATTTTCTGTTTTTCGGATAATCCTTGAATTCTTTACGGTAATTTTTGTGCTTTTTCACGGCCCAGGCGTACATTATTCCACCACCAAAGACAACAAAAAATAATGCTAAAAAATAAAATTAATTTCCATGTCATCCATATTAAGTTTTAAAGATATAATTAATACCAAAAAAATTGAACAAGCAACATTTAATTTAATTACCTGCAGCGGATTTCGTTAATGCCGCAATAGCGACCCAACCAACAACCTCAAAGAAATAATTCGGGCACGAAACTAATTCGAAACCATAACCATGCGGAATTTTTCGGACACGTGTGCCAGGTGGACGAAGATTACGAAGCGTTACGTGCGTGCTTAGGTTTGAAAGTTGTGCCCACTATTAAAAAATAAGTTTCAGGTTAGGATCTAATCAACCATAATTGTTAGAAAGAGAGATAAAAAGTGAACATAAAAAGCCTTACAATCCAAATTCCAACACAAGTCCAAATATACCATTCTTCCCGTTCACCACCAGCAGTACCTTTGGCATTCCACGGACCATAGACCCAATATGCTAGGTTGAAACCACTCAATAAATAATAATGTCCCGAGTTTTTGAAAATGTTCAAGAAAGGCATGGTTCCGTTCGAGAATCGGTGTATGAAAATTGTTTCGAATTCGCGTTTCATAAAGTGGATTAACACCAAATAATAAGTGATGCTTTTTATTTATGAATAAAAAGATTTTAGTTTAGCTTTTCGTATTAATTAATATAACCTTTGTCGTTGAAAATTACTCACGTTTGCATTTTACTATGTTCAAAACTTTTCCCGTAAATTTCGGTAGAGAAGTAATAGAATATTGGGTGTATCACAAGCGGACCAAAGTACTCTATAATAAATACAGTTCGCCAACCAATTTGTAATCCTGTAAAAACCCAAAATTCTTCTTGTTAATTTACCACACAAATAAGAGAAACTATTTAAAGACGCGTAATAAAATGTATCCTACAATCGAATATACCTAAATCTTTAAATAATACAGTATCCCCATCTCGAATACCATATTCTGCCAAAGTTTTGTCTTCTTCAAGTAGTTTATTATCAAACGTCAGTCGTTGACGATCCGGGTAATATTTTGGCAGCTTTTTGTGAATTGCCTGCTTTACTTGGTTGACTTTTGCGTCCGAAGGCACGTCGAGAATAATTGGAAATTTTTGGGATTTCCCAGAGCGTGGGGAAATAGTAATTTTCATTTTGGTAATTTTCTTGCAAATAAAGCAAAAAAGACGAGTATTTAAACTCAAAATTTTTAGAATTCCACGTGCTTGATAACGAGTTAATGCACAATCACATTCAAAAAGGGAAAAAAAAGAACTTCATTTACTATCCATCACGCACGTCGCACAGCCATTCCAAAGCGGGCAGATGTGTATATATAGCCTATCGTGCTGCACCCACTATTTGAGCATCCGCCGATTAGTCTCTGAGGATCTCAATAAGAGAGTTTTTGTTCCTTATCGCTTTTATTCTCGCGCTTGTGCGGACTCTCCTCCATAATAGTAGTAGTAGGTAGCAAAAAATGTCGACAACAGCGAGGGACATTCCTGCCATTAAAAGGGCTGAGCCTGGTGTTCCTCATCCTACTCATTTTAGCACCACGCCTGCTGGCACTATTTATTCAAATACACCCGGAGGTCTGTACTTGCGTTGCGTTTATTTCAGAGTTTAATTAATAGAATGTATTGGGTTTTGAACATGATCTTTGTATTCCGGACGATCCTTTTTTTTTTACTGTACACCAAAGGTCTTTTCTATAACTTTTTTACGCCTAAAGAGTATTATTCAGAAATTCACTGTTTGATTGATCTTGATCATTTATGGTTCTATTACGAATTAAACAACATATATTTTTATAACACGCGCAAAAACACGAGATAGCCTATAATAGAAATCGTATACTATGTTAGTAAATATGCCAATATTTGATAATTATATAGGTACCAGGATTGTATATGATCGTAGTACACTCTTGAATCTTGCCAACTCTCCATTGGCAAAAACTCCACCTAGTAATTTGGCTTTTATTCCCGGCGTGACCAAAACTAATCCTCAGCATGCAGCTCATAATAGTTCCTCAGCAACAGCACAAGTTGAGGGACACTTGGCCCCACCTCAACCCGCTCTCCCTGGTTTACAGCAACAGATTGAGTCCGACACTAACAGTGATAATCAGCCTGCGAAGACTGAAGAAGGCCATGCTCATGGTAAAAGTCGTGCTTCTATTTCGATTTATTCCTCAAAATAACAAACAATAATATTTGAAATATTTTTTTTGTAGAGCCAAACATGTTTGAGATGGATATGGAATAAAGATCTATTTTTGATTTTTTTGCTAACCTGTCTATTTAATATGTATTTTATGTATCATCGGCAATTTAATCTTTGGGAATTGTATTTTATGTATCATCGACAATTTGGTTTGGTAATTATTTTTTGCAAATCACCAACCGCACATCAAATCCCTTTTCTTATATAAAATTAGAGATATTGTGGATTTATTGCGTATTTAAGATCCATTTTTGACTATTATACACTTTGATACAGCCTGTTAATAAGTTTGAACTCTATCAATTATAATTGATAACGAGATTTATTATACACATATCGAGAATTTTGCAATGTTGCAGCGTTCAATATTTTAAATTTTGATTGTTCGAATCCAAACGCTGGATGTATTATTTTCTTTTTGAATTAAAAATTGATAATTTGAAAGCCTAATACAAATGGAATGACTTAAGTTGTACTACATTTAATCAATTACATTATTATAGATAATTGTAATCTCGAAAAGGTTATTTTCAGGATGTGAATGAAATTCCGTAATGACTGTTTAGTAAAAAAAAAAGTGAGAAACAAATATCAAGTCATTGATTTCAATCAAGATGTGATGTACAGCGCACACTCGATTATCTATTATTTGTAAGCATCGCTTTGAACTGTTCGGTGATTTGATCAATGTCTTGAGTGTTCTTCATCGGAGAAGCAATTTTCTATTAAATTACTGTTAATTAATTAACCAATCAATTATAGATGAATTAATAGAAAAATAGAAAGTGCCAACCTTGCCGTCTCGAAGGATCGTAACGGTGGGATCAAGAAGTTGCTCTTTGAACAGATTTGGAAGTGGCGCGACTATAACGTTAATATAAAAGTTACCAGTAGAAACTAACTAAATGTTATTGTAAATATAGGAATAATTATTTTATTGTGTTGTACCAGCTGTTCGAATAAGTTCCTGGACCTAAAAGAAAGAAATTTAATAATGCAAAATATAATATGGTGGTGAATTTGATTATTTAATTGCATTTTCTTTTAAAAACAAATTAACCTCTTCAGGATCAATTCGAGTATCTTCAGAATCTACGTCACTTTCTTCTGATTCGTCTTCCTATTATCATCATCATCATCATCATTATTATTATTATTATCATTATTATTATTATCATTATTATTATTATTATTATTATTATTATTATTAAAGATGTGTCAATATTCAAAAACACGTGCAAAAGGTGGCAAATATAAATATAAAACTAACTTCAACAAGCTCTTCCTGTCCCTCTTGATAGTCTTCATCCTCTTCTTCATTGTACTATAATTAAAATTTATGAAAGCGAATAAAAAGAAAAGACGCGTCAGAGGCTTTCGTACGACAAACTGAAAGGACAATATTGTGAATAAACGCGTCTTTACTTCATCAAATTCATCTTCTATAGTGATAATCATTTTTTCAGCGTGTTCATGTTCGACTTTAAGTTGTTCAGACTCGCCTGAGTGGGTCGGCTGGTGTTGGGTCGATGTAACAGAAGCAGGTTTAGACATTTCTTCCGTTTTAAATTCAAGTGTGATTTATAAAAAAATTATTTGCTTGTGCTCGAATTCTAGTGACAAAGAAATAACAAGTAAATGAAATAAATGGCAAGAAATAAAAATGTCGCGTTCTCCTAAATTATACAATGAAAGACAAGATTGTCACCTGACTGACGATCACTGAACGGCAAAGAATTTTTTTGTTGGTTAAATTTCAATTTTGAAACTTATTTTTTCGTTCTTTTACTCCGCATACTTTTTTCGGGATAAGCAGAGATAAGTCAAAATGGTAAATTTCATCTTCTGCTTTTAGCTGGTATCTTACAACATCAAGTAAAACAAGGAGTTTAGATTTTTGAAAATCTGTTCTTGCTTCTACATATTAGAATGAGCAAATTTTTTCTTTATTAATCTTAATCTAACGTTTAAAATTTAATACATAAAAATTTTGTTGATATTTAGGGTCGTGTCCGAACAAAGACCGTCAAGAAGGTGAATTCATGTATTTACAATTATCCTCGGTATACAATTATATTAATTCTACAATATTAATTAACAAAAGGCCTCCCGGGTTATTATCGAAAAATATTATCCACGTCTCACCCTTGACTTTCAAACGAACAAAAAAGTAAAATTATGTTGATCAATCTTTTTTCCTTCATGATTTGATCTTGTTTACTTAAAGAAAAATTATTTTTTAGATATGTGATGAAGTTGCAATTATCGGGTAATTATCTTTATTTGTCATATTAAAAAGGAACAGATTGTTTCTCATTAGTAACAAAACCCATTAACTCGTTATTTTATTTAACAGGTCCAAACGGCTTCGTAATAAGATTGCTGGATTTACAACACATTTAATGAAACGTATTCAAAAAGGTCCTGTTCGTGGTATTTCCTTCAAATTGCAAGAAGAGGAACGTGAACGAAAAGACAACTACGTGCCAGAAGTTTCAGCCTTGGCCACTGACAACATTGAGATTGATCCAGAAACAAAAGTATTAAAATATCTATTCTTTAATCATATTTATTTGATAGTGAACTTAACAATTGTTTTATTTTTAGGAACTCTTAAAAGCTTTGAATCATGAAAACCTGCCAGGTATTAATGTGATCAACCCGGTACCATTGAATAATCTTGCTGAACGTCCTCGTGGCCCAAGACGTACTAATACTGATCGTCCACCTCGTCAACAACAAGAAGCATAATAGAATTTATTATTTTTTTAATTTTATATTCGTTAAGTCGTTTGTGTATGAGTAAAGATTATATAAAGATTTTACTCCATAAAAAATTACAATTTTTTGAAACTGGTATTTGATGTTTATCCAAATAAAATAACTATTTATTCCTTATTATAAACTTTAGAAGAATGACTTATGATTAATATAAATTCTTATTTGTTTGAAATTAAATTCAAGTATTTTAATGAAAAATTGCAATTTTATAATATATTTTATTAATAAAATATAGAACTTTATATTAAAGTTTATATAAAAATAAAAAAATTTTAAAAAGAAAGTTTTATATTTTATTATATTTTATTAATAAAAATTAACTTTTATTGTATTATTTTTAAATTATTATTATATATTTTTATAATTATTATTTGAAAAAGCAAAAGTTAAATATTATAAAGAAATGTAATTATAATAACTTTTACAATTATAAATTAGAAGATTAATTTTATTAATAAAATAATAAAATTTAAATTTTTTTTTATATTAAAGTTTATAATTTTATTGAGAAATAAATTTTATTTTTATATTAAACTAAAGTTTATAAGTTATAATTTAATATATATTTTTTAGATTTTTTCTGAAAGAATTATTTTAATTACAAAATTTCTTTTAATTAAATTTTATTTTTAATTAGAAAAAAATTTTGTAATTATTTTATAATTAGAATAACTCTTTCAGAAAAAATTTAAAAAATCTGAAAAAAATATATATTAAATTATAACTTATAAGCTTTATTTTAATACAAAAACTAAAATTATTTCTTAATAAAATTATAAAACTTTAATATATAAAAAAAATTTTAATTTTTATTAATAAAATTAATTTATTAATTTTATAATTATAAGAGTTATTATATAATAATTATTTTAATTATAATTATTTAATAGATTAAAAATTTAATTAATAAAAAAAAGAAAAATTATTAATAAAAAAAGAAAAAAGAATTTTTTATAAATAAATAATTTATATAATAAATTATAATAATTATAAAGAAATATAATTAATTATAATTAAAAAAAAATTATAAAATTATAAAATTTTATTAATTATATTTTTTAATAAAATATTAATTTTTAATTTTAAAAAATTTTATTTTTATTAATATTTCAAATAAAATAATTAATATTTAAAAAATAAATTATTTTAGAATTTTAATATAATTAAATATTTAAAAAAAATTAATTTAGATAATATATAATAATATATAAAATATAATAACTCTTATAATTTTAAAATCAAGAGATTAATTTTATTAATAAATTATAATAAAATTAAAATTTTCTTTTTATATTAAACTATAATTTTATTAAAAAATAATTTTTATTTTTATATTAAAATAAAGTTTATAAGTTAAAATTTAATATATATTTTTTTAGAATTTTAAATTTTTTTTTAAAAAGTTATTTTAATTATAAAATTAATATAAAAAATAAAATTTTTATATTAATTTTATAATTAGAATAATACTTTTAGAAAAAATTTAAAAAATTTAAAAAAATATATATATTAATTATAATATATAAATTTTATTTTAATTTAAAAATAAAATTATTTCTTAATAAAATTATAAAATTTAAGATAAAAAAAAATTTTTAATTTTTACTATATTTTATTAATAAAATTAATCTTTTAATTTTATTATTATAAAAGTTATTATAAATAATAATTAATTTTTAATTATAAATAATAAATTTTATTAAATAAGCTTATATACAGTGATAATTAAAAATAATGTAATGCTTAAATTTTTTATTAATTATAATTAGTAAAATACATATTTTTTCTTACATATAAAAGTTTTTAATTTTACTAATAAATATTTTTTATTTT